AGCTTCGTAGAACAAATAGAACAAAGCACCAGAAAATGTCTAAGTCTCAAATCATCTCTACCATTCTGTGGTTTAAAGAATTAAACAATGAGGAGTTTTAGTTAGGAAATGTAAACTATTGGTCAAATTCCACTGAGGAAAAGCAGGAAAAAACATTCTGGGGTGGAACTAGTAGCTAATTATACTCAAAAACTGCTTTTGACAAGTAAAAGTTCCCTGACAGTTTCTCTTGAAACATCCACAGGGAGAGTGACTCCGTTTTTTCGCTGATGGCCTGTTAGTCTTCTCTTCAGAGATCAGCTGAAGATTTTTTCCCACTTGCCACTTGTAAAGAAAAGGCAAGTGATACCTGATGACAAGGTAGAAATGGGATCATCTTGACATAAATAGAATGATGATTATGATGTCAATTCTCAGATCAAAAGTGGAAAGAAATTCTGAGGATGAAAAACAGTTAAAGGCATAAATATAATCAAAAATAAAAATCAACCCTCAGCTCACTGAAGGAAAACAAGTTGGTGCTCGCCTGCTGATAATCGCTAATTGAATTTTGTGACCATAAATACACACTGATTTTTCTTCCGCTTGTTTAAAAAACACCACGATATTTTGAAAATTGTATGCTGAAAAGTGGTTTTAGTTCTCAGTTTGCAAAAGCAAGCACCCTTTACAGAAAATAGGTCTGCAATGCTCCCCCATTCTGACAGATTCATTCTCCTTCATGGCAGATGTTGTATCTAATTTTACTTTGTTTGAAAAGCCATCTACTCCTTACATTTCAGTCAGTTCTACAAGTCCTGAGCATATTTGGTTCTATTCAGGTAGCCTGAAAACCTCAATGGAATAGGCTCTTTCACGAGCTTACACATTTTCTGTATCTCATTGTTGAACCGGAATAGTAATACCTTGTATTTTCATTTTTTCCAACATCTTTTCTAAGTGATGGTAGCAGTTTGTAGGTTTTTTGTCAGATATCCTGGAGATAGGAGAAAGTTTTAATGACTTTCTGTTTAAACCAATACCATAGGCAGCAAGAGTCCTTTCATAGCAGATGGTAAAAACTACTGCAAAAAAAAAAGAGACTGAGCACAATGCCTAAGGTTAAACAGCAAAATCTGGGCCAGGTTTAGGCTTATAATTTTTGGTGTCTGAATTTCTCCTTAACAGTGTATGTGAGCTTCCACTGACTCTCAGAAAGATGGAAAGGTCCAAGAAAACGGAAACTGTGTTAGATTTGGATCCTCAAAACTTAATTTTTTCCATATTCTGCATCATGCTCTATGTTGTGATAAGACCTTACCATTTAACATGCCAGTCAGTCAGGTTTTTAATATTGTTGAAAATCACTGGATAAAAATGCTCATAAAAATGAATATGAAGGTATAAAAATGAACTCTGTAAACACATAAATATAATGTGCTCATATTACATACTTGCAATATACAGAATGTATTTCTTTGATTCTAAAATAAACACTTTTTTGTTTCAGACATTTCCAAAATTGTAATGTACTTAAAATTTATATTGTTATAACGTTGCTGTTAACCAGGCAACAGTTGTGATTTATCAGTGACTGATCCTGGGTAGAGAGCAGATCTAGTTTTCCATTCTACTATTCCTTGAATTTCTCTGTATCTTTAAAATTTTTCATAATAACTACTTTGGGGACATCTATTAAATTAAATAATCTAATCAAATCAATCATTAATTAAATTAATTAAATAAGCCTATTTAATTAAAGTCTTTGTGGCACAGGGCATAATGTTTTGTTGAAAAATGTGGACTTCAATAGTTCTCACTATAAAAGTATTTTACAAGATTTAGACTCTGAATATGGAGAAATTTTAGGAATACTGTAACCATTTCTTTTTGCTTACCTGATATATGAGACAGATAATTTAAAAAATCTAAAAGAGTTCTTTTAAAAAACATAAAGTCATTCTCAGTGACAAGAAAGCATCCTGTCAAAGGTTAACTGGCAGTGGCTTTTTTCATCTTGGTGCTACCAAAAATAATGGTGAATTGCACAATATAAAATACTCTTAGTAATATTTCCAAAGCTATATGTCATAAAAAATGTATAGCTTTAACTTTTATATCTGAGCATTAAATAAATATGCTAGCTACCACTTAATGAACATTCATAATGTGCTAAGAACTTTATGCATATCATTTTACTTAATCCCTAAAAAATTATTTTCTTCATTTTACAGATAAGGCAACTGAGTCAGAGAGACTGGTAGCTTGTCAATTGTTCTATAGCTATGGAAGTAGTAGAGCCATAGACTAGAAGAAAATAGGTACAAATCATATATATAATAAAGATTTTGTATCCAGAATATATAAAGGGCTCTTAAATAATAAACAACCCAATAAAAAATGAGCAAAGTATTTGAACAAACATCACTATAAATATAAAAATGACAAATCAGCACATGAAAAGATGCTGAGCACCATTAGTTTTTACTGAAATGTAGATTAAATCATGTGATACCCTTACACTCAAATTGGAATGTCTAAAATTAAAGGACTGACCATAAAAAGTTTTGGTGAAGATATAGAGGAGCCGGAACCCTCAAGCACTGAAGTTAAAAATTTAAAATGATATAGCCACTGTAGGAAACAGTTTGGTAGTCTTAAAAATCTGAAGCATACACGTACATATGATCTAGGCATTATACTTCTAAATATTTAAAGAAAATATATAAAAGCATGTGTCTGTAAAAAACTTATACATGAATGTTCATAGTAGCTTTATAACAGTCCAAAACAAAACAACTGAAATGTCCATCTATGGGTGAATATATAAACAATTATGTTCCCACAATGAAATTCAATATATTCAATGAATATATATTCAATATGCAATGGAATACTACTCTGTGTACATATGACAAACAGATACCTCTCACAAACCTTTTTTTAGCATGTACTATAAGTCTGCTCCCATAAAGTAAACCAAAATTGAAAAACATGGCATACAAAAGAGCCATCACAAAAATTCCCATAATGATAGCGGTGCATCAGACAAAGAATAATCAGTCAAGACAATAGCTGCAATATGGTACTATTCAAGAGAGATGTTCTCAAGAAAAAAACAGAACCAAAAAGATTACCTTATGACTTCTATTTCACTGAAAGTTATGAATGAACAGCCACAGATTAAGATTATCTGAGAAAATTCTAGAAATACAGATGATACCAAAATTAATAGGAAAAATAATCTGAAAAGAGAATACATCAATGAAACTGGAATATAATTTTTTTCTATTTTTATTTTTTATTACACTTTAAGTCTGGGGTACATGTGCAGGTTTGTTACACAGGTATACATGTGCCATGGTGGTTGGCTACACCCATCAACCCGTCATCTACATTAGTTATTTCTCCTAATGCTATCCCTCCTCTAGCCCCCATCCTCCAATAGGCCCTGGTGTGTGATATTCCCTTCCCTGTGTCCATGTGTTCTTATTTTTTCACTCCTACTTATGAGTGAGAACATGAGGCATTTGGTTTTCTTCTCTTGTGTTACTTTGCTGAGAAGGATGGGGCACTAATACACCACTTATGTGTACACTTTGAAATGATGAATTGCCTATGTGAATTACATCTCAAGAAAAGTGCAACACAGAAAGAAGGGATAAAAAACAATGATATAGCTCAAGTTAAAGAATGAATAATGGGTCAGAAAAGTAAAGGGAAACCTTCCTGGACATTGAGGGCATGTGCTGAGGCATAAGTCATGAAAAATATGGAACTTCAAGAATAATGAGAAATGTAACAAGAGTTGTTCAGGAGAGGAGGGAAAAGAAAGGAAAGGTGAGCAGATGAAGGCAGGGGAGCTAAGTTCAGAAAAATACGTACGATCTGATTGGTAACCATTCCTTAGATCATGAGAAAGGCTTTGGATTTTAACTTGTCATAGAGCACAATGGGAAATACAGAATGATGAAATGATTAGGGGCGAGAGCCAGTAGAACCTGTTTAAAAGTTCATGGATAAACTAAAGAGAGTGTGCATTGTGGCATTAAGTAAATAGGTAAAAGAGTGACAGGGCATATGGTCTAGAGGACCATGTGCTTATTAGAGTAAGAGAGGGTTAGAACTGAATTCCTGAAATAGAAATAGTATGATAGAAGAGTGGCTAAAATTGGGAAGTGAAGAGGCAAAAATAAAAGATGACTGAGTTCTCTAGTCAAAAAAAAGAAAAGAAAAGAAATTTTTAGAAGATTAGTGAAGGAAGAGAAGCTTAAAGATAACAAGTTTATTTTGGAGGATAAGTTTGAGATTCTGTGGATTTTCCAGTGGAGACTTCTCCTTCATGTCTTCAGCATATTTTGTTTCACAAGTTTTTACTAAAATGAGGGAAGCTTTTCTTCAGAATAAGAGTAAATGGGTGTAAATGAGACAGAAATAAGTGATCTTTCATTCTTCTGAAGTCTCGTGTACTTTAACACTATAGAAATCTCTACATCTGTATTGTAATTATGTATTGATGATTACAGGATGTTCCCTTGGAGTCTTAAAAATTTAGAATTCCTTTTGCAGAAAATCACTGATATATAAAAATGATTTTATATATCAGTTAGTACTTTGCCACAGTAGGCATTCTACATATGCAAGGAAGCTGGGGTTCTGAAAATTCAAATTCATTTCTCAAAGTTATCCATTTAGTCAGGGATAAAACCAAGCCTCAACACAAGTTGTTTTGTTTTGTTTTGTTTGTTTCATCTTCTAGGCTAGTGATATTTTTACTGTGTTCCTCTGCCTCCTTCAAAAGGCAAAATACGTTGGATAAAGAGTCACAAAAGAGATGGCACAAAATGTACATTTAATGCTCAGGTTTGATAATATGTTACTTTGGGTAATTACTTCAGCCTTCTGAGCATCAGTTTTCGTCCAATAAAATGAGAATGTTTACCTAATCAATATTGACAAGGAACTCTGAGATTTTTCTTAATTAGCTTTTTCATTAGTGATCTCTTTCTTATTTCTATCACTTGCAAAACAAGAAAACAAAATGAAACAAAATAAAAATTATCAACTCATATCAAGCACACATGTGGCAGATATTTTTTGTGATAGATGACCATTCTTATATCAAAACATACAAGTATGTATGGATATTAATATATGATAGACAGAAGAAAATCTCATCCCTGCCCTTCATGTCCTGCCAACTTTATTATGTGAATCTCTTTTTTTTTTTTACATTCCTTATTAAGATTTTATCTTATTCATGCTGGCATTTTTTTCTTTAAGACAAAACATCTTTAAGCAAAAATCAGAACATTTGTGCTATTTTTTAGTTTTACAAATTCATATAATTAGTATTTTTTAATATTAAATCCTTTAATATTCAAAAAACTTCCATATTTCTTGCTATATAGTCAAGAAGATATTCTGAAGCCATATGGTGGATCTGTTTGCCAACTGTGGAATGATATTTAAGCACTTTGGTGCTTTAATAGCAACATTGACATCAATACCTGGAAAATTATTTTTAGCTAGATCCTTTTCTTCAATACTTAGAACATTATGACAACACAAGAAGCAGTAATACCATTATGGCATCTCATTTCTCAGTTCTAACATTTAGCATTTTCTTAGCATACAGGGCAAGTGAAACATGACGTGGAGGTAGGTAGAATTCATATACAAATTGAAATGGAGAAATTGCCTCCAACCAAAGCAGAAACAGATGGGAAGGTCCCAGAGGAGCTGTATCCTAAAGGGAAAGGTACAACCTGCCATTTCCACTTACTGTTGCAAAATTGAACGCTAATTAGGATAGACTTTTTTTCAAAAGCTTTGAAACAAAAATAACTATTTTGAGAAAATGGTTTTCATGTCCCTTTTTAGAGATTTTATTTTTAAAAAGGTCTAACTTTACTAATGACCATGTGAAAAATGTTCAATACCGCCACACATATAAATGATTATTCGGATTCCTATAGATTTTAATTTTATATCTTGGTAGATTAGACAGATATATAAAGAGAATATTGTTTCAACTGATGCCTTTTGACATGTTTTGGGGTCAAGACTTTGTAGTTTATCTTCTGTATCTTCTGATTGTTCTCCCCATTATTTTTATGTCTACCTCCTTCCAAATATCTTTCCCTTTTGCTAGAGTGATCTTTTAAAAACACAAAGCTAATCATGTGCTTTTTATGTCTTGCTTTTATAAACTGTCATAAATTTATTGAGTCAATTAATATTTATTAAATGTCTCCAACTATTAAGATTCAGCTAGGTAATGTAGAAGATACAAATATCAGCAAAATACAGTATTTTTTTTTTCAGAAGATACAACCTAGTAACAAAGACACAAGATATGCCCATGTCAACGTACAGCTTTACATTATGTAGTACTTCATTATTACAAATGTCTCCCATATATTATTATATGTGATGGTTACAATCTTTGAGAAAGGCAAAGCAAACAGATGTATTCATTCATTTTTTTTTCTGTCCACAGGTAATAGTGAGCACCTACAGTGTGCCAGGAATTGAAGTAGATTCTTGGGATGAAGAAAAGACAGAATCCACATTTTTTATAAGTTCAGAGATTAGCTGAGAGAGAGAAGAAAAGGACAATGGCAATCCTCCATGGCAAGGGCTCTATGTAAGAGAATACAGAGAACAGATGGCCATTCCAGACTCACCTGGAATTGAAACTGGGCTCCGCACCTTGGGAATCACAAGACTTAAAACAGTATATTCCACTTCCTCCAGTCTGTTTTGTATCTGTAAAATGCATCTATTTCATATGGCTATAATGAGGAGTAAATAAGGTCATCTAGGTACATATCTGATACCTGAGTTAGGACCAGCTCATTGCATCTCAAGGAACATGTTGATCTACTTGAACTCCCTCTCTCTTTCCCCAGCTCCATCTAGCTCTAAGTGCTTTGTCTCCATTCTAAATTGTCAGACATTTTGCAAGATAAACAGCAGCATGCAATGGGCTGGAGAAAGAAACAGCAGAAAGCAGAGTCAAAGAGCCCGGGGAACCATCCATCACAAAGCTATCCTGCCTTAAAGTGAAAAGTGCAATTCCCTAAGACTCTGGTAACACCCATGACTGAACATCCTGCTAATTTTAGCAAAATAATAAATATGAATAAGTCTCGTTTTTGAAACTGACTGCAGCCAAATGAAAGTGGGAAACCTTAGCTTACAAAGAAATAAAAACCAGAAGCTCTTCCCTTTCAATTGAAACCATGATTAACAAACATTTGTAAATCCAAGTTGCTCTCAAAAGATCAAAACTGGTATGATTCAGTGATGACAACTTGCTAGAAAAATTGTCTTCAGTACTTGCAAAACCAGTTTCAATGAAGGTAGGAGAGTTGAAAGAGGCAGAAAGGATTAGTGAAGGAGACAAATCGTTTAGTTTCGTATGGGCTAAAAACCCCAGTGAAGTAAAAATTGTAACCAAGGACGAACAACAGAATATTAAAGCAAAGTATTTTCTTTGATGTTACTGCCTGCTCAGCTTCTTGGAGAGAAAATGAATACTTTTAGATCAGATTTAGAGAAATGAGTAATAAGAATGAGGATAAAGGTTTCTTTTTTAAGTGATTGTATCTTCTTTCTTCAAGTGTGTTGTAAGTTCCTGAAGGATAGGGTTTACAAATTTCCTTCTTTGCTCTTCTGTAGTGCTTGGAATGGGCTTCACAGAGAGTAGGGTTCAAAATAAGTCTAGCTGGGCAGATCACTATTAATAGAAGATAAGCAAAGCACAGGACATTGGATATTATTCTTTTATATGAATTTATATTGACATTACTTTTCTTCATTGAAAAGGAAAGAGGACAAGAAATAGAAATGAAGCAATATCTTGTTACTTTGTTTCACTTACCATAGAGATTGGCCCACAGTGAATGTTTAATAAATGTTTATTGGAGGAGCTAATAAGAAAAACAGCATGCAGATAAACAGACAAGAAACATTGCATTCCTGTTGCTTTGGTAAAAAGAAACGTCCTCCTCTCATTCCAGAAGGTGGACTGGCAGCAACAGCAGCAGAGGTAAATGCAGCTGCATTTTCTTTAAAATAGGACATGGGTCTACAGGTTAGAAACTGTGACCTCCTGAAGGGTGTGAGTCACCAGCTCTGCCAGTGGCTAGCACCCAGCTGGGTCCTTGACAACACCTGCGGAGTTGATGGAGTCATTTATTGTAGTTTTCCTTTCCTTATCTCATTTCTTAGCTGCCTAGATTCTCCAGGTTTACCTGAAAATTTCTCCATTTACCCCAGTGCAAGCAATCAAACAAAAATTTCAACTGTTTTGATAGTATGTCCTTATAGATTTGTTGGCTTCCTTTTCTGATCATAATATGACCTTTTGGAAAGGAAGCTTTTTGTGAGATATGCAACATGAATCTCCTGTCCATGTTCAAAGCCTCACAAAGCAAAAAGCATTGAGTTTATGATGTGTTCACCCTGGATTTCAGGCATGTCTGGGAATGCCAGCGGGACTTTCGGAGAGACATTAAAAACAAAGCTCTAGTTACATGAGGTATCATGTCTTTCTGATCACAGAGGTCATTTACCCAGTAAACAAATATTTATTGAGTACCAACTAGGTAGCAATATGCTAGGCTTAGAAAGCTGTAACCTCTGCCCTCAGAGAAGATATACAATGAACAAGTAAAGTAAATATTTCAAAGAATTATGGAATACTATGTAAGCATGTTACAAAACGATCTAAGCTAGTTTAGGGCAGGAGGTCAGAAAATGCTTTACTAGGGAAATGATATTTATGCTGAAACCTGATGAGTGAACTGAGTTGTACAAGTGTGGGTCAAAGAAAGGGCAGTGGGCCATGGTTAAGAGATGAGATGCGGTTTTGAGGGGAAGATGATGTCTGTCATGTCGGTCCTATCTTGAATGTTTATTTCAATTGACACCTGAGACCAAGTGCCATGTCAAAATAAAGAGGGTGGGGGCGGAGAAGCTGGAGACTGGGACTAAATCTAGAAAAACTGGAGACCCTACTCTGGACATCCGATGTCTATGTCTTCCATGTTGAGAAGAAATTATTGCAATGATTTTTATAACCCAGAGACACTGTACACGTTAGTGGACAGAAGGGCTCACCTTTTGTAAACACCAATTGTAATACAGTTACTACAGCAGCACGTCAAACAAGTGCAGACAAACAAACAATATAGTAGTGTGAGGATCACATATTTCAAGGCAGTCATTCTTACATGCTCCGCATGGTACACTGACATTTTAAAAGCACAGATGTGGTAACCGATATATTGTCATGCACCTGCTTATTTGCCCTCTTTGCTCTAGGAATTAATTCCAAACATGGGTTACAGTTCACTTTATGGCTTTGTCCTTTGATACATTTATATACTTGAATATATATTTAATATATATTCATGATATAAATATATTCTTATTATTCATATATTAAAAATATTTAATATATTCAAGTATCTAAATCTCAAGATTTATTATTTATCAATTATCCTCCACTTTTCTACTCATCCACCCAAAACACATATACACACACACACACACACACACACACACACACGCACGCACACACACAGTATATCCTATATTCCATTATTATCTATTTTTAACTCTGTTTACTTCTCTGGAATCACCATACTCTCTGAACTGCAGACTAGTTTGTTGCCTCCTCTACTTAGTATTTCTCTGTCCCCTCCTCCCCTGTGGCCCCTCTGTCTTGACAAACAACTGCTTGTTCTTTAAAATCTTCTCCAGAAATCCTTTCCTCCAGCCCCAAGACTAGATATGGTTCCCCCTTCCTGCTTTCAAAGCACCCTACACATTTCTCATAATGTGTATGTGATTTCATAGTAATTGTCGGATTACCTGTCTGTATCTCTCATAAGACTATAAGCTCCTACAGGACAAATGCGTGTCTTATGATTCACAACATTGTTCCTGTCACATGGTAAGTGCTTCCTATATATTTGTTGGATAAATATCTGACTTCCCCTACTTTTATGACAGTTACTGCCATGCCCCATATTTGACTTGATTCCATTTCTATCTGCTTCTATTTGCTACCTGCTTGTCTATGTTGGAGAGAGGAAGCCTGGAATTTTGTTTGCCTAACGTAAAGACGGGTGTAGTTTTAGCCGTTTTTCTAAAAATGGCATCTAGTTTTGCCAAGTCATCTCAAACATCCTGTCAGTGCTTCAGAAAACTTTTCTTTGTTGGAAATTTGACCTTATCATCAACAGACATATTTAGCTCTGAAATCTAATAGATTTCTTTTTGAAGGATATTGAGCAAAGAGAACTGAAATCTCTTCTTCAGGTGTGCCTCGCCTGAAAAGAGCTACTAATAAATCTGGTAGCCGGTGGAGCCTCTTCTGCTTGTGCTTCCTAGGGGATACTTCTTGCCTTTTTGTGGACACTATCCCTGAGGAGCTGGGGTGACTTACTTGAGTGGTAAATTCGGGAAGAAAACCCAGGATACTTGGTTAACCATAGCTGTTTTCCTCTTGGGTGCAAGCTGCTAACAAGGAACGAAATGCTCATAGCAAACAGAAGCTGTGTTTTTCATGGGGCCAGGCTCTGTCTTTGAGCTGGTGGTAACAGAATTGACTTGGGTGAGAAGTATGTCAGATTCCGAGATTTGCTGTTAGAAAGGCCACTGGATGTCATGTGCTCCAACTTGGCCTTCACCAAGGTTATGCTTCAGCTTCCCACCTGCCATTTGTCTTACTTCTCAATTTGTTTAAAATATAAATGAGAAAGACACTTTCTCAAAGACCCCTAGTCAAGCCCAATTTTTTAAAAAAGTGTTTGGGAACTGATGATTCTACTCCTAAACTGCACTCTAGCTCAGTAGATGTCCCTTCTTCACAAAGTTACTTTTGAGCAGAACCTGGACCTCCTATAATCTGGGGGTTAATTCCAGTTTCAGGAGAAGGCAAACATTTGGCTATGGTGGATACTAAAGTAGGATTTAATTTCACTGACTCCAGCATCTGCTGGCTTGATTGGTATCAGACTCTTTGCCTGTACTTAAACTTCAGTGTTTGTGTGTACCTAGTACATGAGCACTTGGCTGGCTCCTAACTTATTGCCCTGCCTTTATAACTGACCTCCCAGCAAGTCTCAGGTCTGGACCACTTCCGTGTTTGCTCCAAACATTTGTTCTGAGAATATTCCTGGTCATCCTGGGACTGACTTTCCACATATCTGTATTCCATCACTCCCACACACCTGGCATAGTGAAATCAGAGACATTAGCTGTTATGTTGCTTTTCATAAAAGGCAGTGGGACTTTACCATCAGAAAAGTCTAGGAATTATATTCCAACATTTACTTGTTCCACAATCTTAAACAATAGTAATGGCAACCACCAATTACTGACTGCTTACTCCATGCTGGGCATTTTCCGAGATATGTTATGTCTAATATCTGTCAATCAGATATGCCAGCTTTGCAAGATACATGTATCATCACCATTTAAAAATGAGAAAGCCAGAGAGGCTATGGTTTACATATACAAAGTGCTTTAGCATAGTTCCTGGCACATGATAGCCATTCAAAAGTAAAAAGATTGCTTGACTTTCCTTCTTATTTTAATTTTATTTTTATAATAGTTTTACATGTAGAAGATTCAAAAATCATAATGATAAAAATCTATGCTCTAAGAAATCTTGATTTCTTCCCTTTCCTCATTTACTTCATTCTCCTTCATTCCCTATACATAGTCATTTGAACCATTTTGTGTATTTTGTTTATCCTTATACTATTTATGCAAATATAGGAACATATATGTGCATACACACATATATTTATCACTTTTAAATAGCTTGCATCATAATATGTTCTCTATAAATATCACTATTTTTATTGATTTCTCTTTTCCATCATTCCCAACATACAATCCTTTATAAATCTTACCTACCTTCAAAATGTAAATTCTATGACTATTTGTCACTTATCCACTCTGGCCCACGTTACCACCTTCTCCATCCTGGATTGCTGCAATAACATTCTCCTCCACTCTGATCCAACTCACTACCATCTCTATCCTGAATTCCTGCAATAACATCCACGATACTCCCCACGCATGTGCCCGACCCTCCCTAGTTATTATTCTCGCAGTAGTCAGAATAACTGTTTCAAACTCAGAGTCAGATCGTGCACTAGTCTCCTAAATCTAACTGTAAAATGTGCCCCATTAAACTCAGAGTAAAATCTAAAGAAATTACACAGGTATGCCTATTATCTATTGCTGTGCAACAAGCCACCCCAAAATTTTGTGGCTTAAAACAGC